CCTCCTCCAGCACACAACGCTCCTTCTCTTGCTTCAGTGTTTGGTTTTCCTTCAGCAAAGCAGCTATCTCTGCATCTTTCTCCTCAACGCAACGCAACTTTTGTTGTTTGAGTTCCTGGTTTGTTGTTTGCAAGGCGGCCATCTTTGCCTCCTCCTTAACACAACGCTCCTTCAGTTGTGTGAGTTCCTGGTTTCTATCACGCAAATCAGCTATCTTTACAGCTTTGTCAACACAATGATCCTTTTGTTGTTGGAGTTCCTGGTTTCTCTCACGCAGAGCAGCTATCTCTACAGATTTCTCCTCAAGACAACGCTCCTTTTGTTGTTTGAGTTCTTGGTTAGTCTTTTGCAAGGCGGCCGTCTTTGCATCTTTCTCCTCAACACAACGCTCCTTCTCTTGTTTCAGTGTTTTGTTTTCCTTCAGCAAGGCAGCTATCTCTTTATCCTTCTCCTCCACACAACGCTGCTTCTGTTGTTGGAGTTCCTGATTTGTCTCACGCAAAGCAGCCATCTCTACATCTTGCTCCTCAACACAGGGTTCTTTCAGTTGTTTGAGTTCCTGGTTTGCCTTTCTCAAGGCAGCCATCTCGGCTTCGACCTCTTCCTGGGCTTTCACTTTCACATTGTGCTGAAACTGCAAAGCTGCTGTATATGCTTTGAGCATCGCTTCCTTCTTTTTAGCGCCTTCAATCTCAAACTTATCCCTTAAGGGAGTCCTCTCCTGCTCCAGCAACAACTCCATTTCCTGATTTTCTTTTTCCAGAATCTCGAGCCAGACTGCCAGCTCATCTCTATTGTTCATCTCCATCTCTACTGCTGTGACGAAATGACCTGTTGTTTAGCAAACTAAATGTAATTGTTCGACTGAATTAACGTCACAAAAATCCCACAAAAGTTGAGTTCACTTGTGAAGATTATCTCGCTAAAAAACACTGCAAGTATCCCTAATGTTTGCTTGCAACAAAACCTATTTCTGCAATGATCTGACACTAGCTGGACAAATTGCTTCTGTCTGCTGCTCTGCTGCTCTGGTGCTCTGATGAATTCTAGAAGATCAATGCAGAATTCAGAATTCTACATGAAAGCAAAAGATGATGTCATCATTCTGATGGTTCCATTCCAAATAACGAGTGAAGGACATCAGCTGACAGGAAGTAAGAATGGAACCATGCTGTTGCCTAGAAACGCAATTGTGTTTAGATAATATAAAGAAATGTAAACAATCGAAATGCTTTATTAATTCCAATGGGAAGTAAGCAACATGTTCTATTATGTTTCATCTTCACGTCAAATGCATATTTTCTACTTTTTAATTTCTATTTTGATATCTTTCAAATTTTTGAAATCTTTATTTCTACTCTTTTAATTTCTAATTATGTGCAATGCCTTGTTTTTTATGCTGCTGCAACGCAAACATTTCCCAATTTGGGATCAATAAAGTACATCTTATCTAATAGGAACCAAAAATACAGTTACGTTGAAGTTGCACTCAATTGCATTTTGATAAAGTGCCATTTTGAATAAAACTTTTTTTTACAGGATTCCCTTCAACACATTAACTTCAATGAAAACATTTCTCTACTAAAATATTTTTTTATGGTGATTAATTGTCTCTTTGTTGTAATTTTCTGTCTCTTTGCAGCTGTTTTCCATCTAATTGTAGGACTCTTTAAAGTAAAGACACGACATACCGATATACACCTGAACATCAGCAGGAGAGGACTCTTTAAAGTAGAGACACTACATACTGATATACACCTGAACATCAGCAGGAGAGGACTCTTTAAAGTAGAGACACTACATACTGATATACACCTGAACATCAGCAGGAGAGGACTCTTTAAAGTAGAGACACTACATACTGATATACACCTGAACATCAGCAGGAGAGGACTCTTTAAAGTAGAGACACTACATACTGATATACACCTGAACATCAGCAGGAGAGGACTCTTTAAAGTAGAGACACTACATACTGATATACACCTGAACATCAGCAGGAGAGGACTCTTTAAAGTAGAGACACTACATACTGATATACAGTACACCCTGAACATCAGCAGGAGATAGCTCCTTAAAGTAGAGGGACTACGTACACCTGAACATCAGCAGGAGAGGACTCTTTAAAGTAGAGACACTACACAGATGACATTTTTTTATGGATTTTTTGTCAAAGCACTTAAGATATTCATTGCTATCGGGATGTTAAGAGCATTCCATGGAATATAACAAAAAGTGTATCTCGAGCCGGTTTCTCAAACTTACCTACCCCACCTTTAAGGGTGTTGATAGGATATCTAAGGGCCCAATAATTTTCCAATAGGATGTTGGTAATTAAGATAAGATAAGATAAGATAAGATGGTACTTTATTGATCCCAATTTGGGAAATTGTTTTTGTTGCAGCAGCATAAAAGACAAGGCATTTTACAATAAAACAAAACTACAAATAAACAAGAATAGAAAGAAAAGAAAAGAAAATAGAAAATATACATGTTGAAATAGAAAACATACATGTAGATATTATGTATACAAATATATATATTCAAAAATATATGACATATGGAATATTAAATATTAAATATTAAATATTGAACAGATTATATATGTGTAAAATGTACAACGTGGTTTTACAATGAAGAAGGCAGGGTATAGTGTTTAATTTTTAATTAGGTTTAATATTTTGTTTTATTGAGGGTCACCAGGCTTATTCCAAGTTAAAAGCCACTCATGGCTGCAGGGGTTCAGGTAGAGGACCTCCAAATGGCGCGTTTCCACTACAGCGCGGAGCACGGTTTAAGAGGGCTGTGACGTCAGCGGCCCGTCTTTGGTTGCGTTTCCACTTGGCCTAGTACCGGCCGGCGGGTCCTAATCCTAACAGTTTTTCTGGCCTCATAAAATCGTGGGTCTAGGGCCAGAGACAACGAGGCTGAGTCGGGCTGAGTATGCTAAACTAGAGAGAGCATCGCTGGCAAGGGGGCTACAACTACAACAAGATGGACATATTTGACCGTGATTTAATTGTAATACACGTTTCAAAATGATGCCGAAGTAACAACATACTGATACCGGTTAGTAAAAACCATGAATTAATGCTTTGTCAAGTCTGCAGACAGACGGCAGGCGAAAAACCTTTTAAAATGCGTGTTTTCTAAATGGAGATTGGCTAAGCTAACGCAGTATATGCTCCGACCGGCCACACTCACAACAACGGCCTATACAGACATAAATAAAGCAGCGACTGTATTCGCCATGACACAGGCAGTCTGTGGTTTGTACTTGTTTAACTTTTGTCTAGTTTCTGAACATATATGAGGAGCTGTGAGCTCTGAGTGCTAACAGCTAACGGCTGTGTTGTTTTTCTGGGGTTCTCATTGAAGATGACGTCACGGCTCCGCCTACACTGCGTTACTATAGATACTACGATACTACCCCAGTTCCTAAACTGTAATGGAAATGCGCCATAAAGTGAGCCAGTCCTAACGAGGCCTAGCCATACCGAGCGAGGCCGTGTAGTGGAAACGCGCCATTAGTGCCGGAACTAAGTACAGGAAAGTACTTGGTGTGAACGGGGCTAAGGACTATGTTGTCGATGACGCTAATAAGAAGAGAACAGCGGTATGCAGGGTCTGCAACATAAAGATCAGTGACACGACCACCACAACATCCAACTTCATTCGTCACTACAAAAAACCCCACAGAAAGCTAACGTTAAGTTTAAGCTACGTTAGACTTGGTTTCAAATCGATTAAGCATTGCAAAGAGAAGACAAAACGGTAAATGAACACTAGAACCTCCAAGGGATTGATTTGTACTAACCCTGATACTGACGGGCTGTCAGGAGAGGGAGAGAGAGGAAAAGAGATGCCTCGTTTATTTCCCCTGTGTTATTATCAGAAGTTACTGTAAACTTTTGAATAATGTAGTTCATCTACTTTTAGTAGTTTGTTTAAATGTTTTAATTATGTTGTGTTTGTTTGTAGAAGTGCATCATTCCTTGATTTATTGTAAAATGAATCTGAACTTTTTGATCTGTTATGATGATAAACTGAAGCAATTTCTAAATTAAGCCAATTAACTGAGTTTTAAATCGTCCTACTTAGTTTATAAGGAAATTATGAAGAGGAACAAATTAAATGATTTGAAAATGATATCTATGTAGGTGCTGACGCTGTTGGCGGTTCTAGTGTTAACAGAAGTTTAAATTAAATATGTGTAATGGCAAATGCCATATATGATTTTCTTACCTGGAATTCTGCCTTTTTGAACAGACTTTTTGATTGAGTCCTAGCTATATTGTCTGCAGTTCTAGGGTTAATATGAATCTGATATGATTGTCATCGGTCTAAATTAGATTTCAAATGATTAACTGTGTATGTAATGAAGATCATAGTGTGGGTTGAATCCATTTTCATAACCACTGTCTTTTAACTGATTTAAATGCAGAAACTGGGCTTATTCATCAGAATTTTGTATGACTTGACTTGACTTGACTTGCTTGACCTGAGCAATGACTTGACTTGACTTGCTTGACTCTCACCACAGTGACTTGGGACTTGCTTGATACTTGTAGGTCAAGACTTGAGACTTGCTCATGACTTGCACATGTAGGACTTACTCCCACCTCTGGTAACTACTCGTGACACATTCTGACCAGGGGCATAAAATAACACAAAAAAGGAAGAAAAAGGAACGCATGACTCATAATATCAATCAGAAAATATTGTGCCTCGCTACATCAAAACAATGTTTTTGTAATCAACTTAAAACAAATGGACTTGCTATAGTGACCTCGGGCCGGGGCCTCCTTGGCTTGGACCCAGAAAATCTCAGGGTCCAGGCTTTAACTTTTAGATAAGGCAGCCTTGACCAAACAGGCATGATCAGCATCATAATTATGATAATATTCAAGTGTAGTTAAACATTTCAATGTATGGTGGCTTGGTGATTAAAGGTAGAAGATGTGGCTGGCACTGCCCCTTTAAACATCTCTCCTTCCAGTCTCGCTCTCCGGGCGGCTCTCTCTTCCCCATTTCGCTGCTTTGTTTTCATCGTCGCTCCTCTGATCATGGCTGCCCATTCTGCAGAAGAACCGTTCCCCTTCCACGGACTGCTTCCCAAAAAAGAAACTGGAGCCACGTCTTATCTCACCAGGTTCCCCGAGTACGATGGCCGAGGAGTGCTCATCGCTATCCTGGACACCGGCGTGGATCCCGGAGCCCCCGGCATGCAGGTACATCTAACCGGCAGCTGTCTCACGTTAGCTGTTAGCTAGCTGGTGGTAGCTAGCAAAGCTAAAGGCCCACATATTTCACATTATATACACACAATAACTATGAAAACAAACTTCATGTGTGTTATAACAACCAAATCAACACAAAACTATTGATTGCGTATGGTTCCCCTAGCTGTTAAAGTGTGTTTCGGTGCTAAACAAACATACTAACGTTATAATATGCTAGTTGACATACCTGCTAGCATGTTAGCCTGGCAGCTAACAGCTGAATATGTCCGCCTCAGTTTTCATTCAACCTCCCCACTGATTATTCATAATCTATCCTGTCACCTGGTTAACTACCGTTTGGCTGTTATGATTCGTATCTAAATTAATGTTTATATGTCATTATTAGTTGCAAAAATATAGTATGTTCGTTTAGTTTTCTGTTAGTGAGTCCTAACTACATGTTTACTGCCAAGTCACACTGGAACCTAAAGTTAGCTTAGCAGCTAGCTACACCGTTTGAAACCAGTTAATGAGTCCTTGACAGTTTCCATACAGTTTTGTCTGTTAGAAACCAGCATGTTAGGCACATCATGACACTTAATTAATAAAGGTTAACCGGAAGTTCGGCTGGAAAAATCTTACCGCTAATTTATTACACCTAAAATAATAGTAAACACACTGGTGCACAACAATCCTGTTGGCAGCTATGTGGCAACACAGAGGCAATTCACACACATTGTTGATAAATTACACTCATTTTGGGAGACTATGTTGAAATGAATGAATTCAGGGTAATGCAAAGTACTGTACATTGGAAATACACTTCATAATGTCAGTCACTGATAATTATATAACCGAGATCCCAAGAAGGCAATGTCAATAAAGACAAAAAAACCCTACTGTGGAGCAATAGTTAGATATTATAAGATACATTTATAATATGGAAAACTGAATTGAAGAAATTAATGATTTATGGCCTTACTGAAATATACATTTCAAGATACTGGATATGAAAATGCCTGTATTTGAAGATGGGCACTTATAACTATGGCTGTTTATTTTGTTTTCATTTTGTAGTGTTTATTTGTGTTTTATTTTCCATCTTAATAAAGTGTATACACTAACTTTGTATTGCATTCTATACATTACATTTCATCTAGTTTGCCCTTTTATCCAAAACCACTTGCAATAAGTGCAATCAACCAATTACATCAATCTTTTTATTTTTAAACACGTCACCTTGCTTCACTGATACTTTAAATGCCAGAATCTGAACTTAACCCCTTCTTAAACACATACGTATAAAGGGGTATGGGCAAAGCATTTGAAGTTTCTTCACTATAAGGAATGGTTTGAGCATTACTCAGTCAAGTTAAAAATCATCACTGCTTCTTTTAGGTCACAACTGAAGGGAAGCCAAAGATTGTCGACATCATCGATACAACAGGCAGCGGTGACGTGAATATGACCACGTTGGCAGAACCTAAAGATGGGACAATCACTGGCCTCTCTGGTACAACACTTAAGGTTAGTACAAAGAGTAATAAAAGGATAACCCATATGTTACATAGGAAATAGTCCCTTTTTTTAAATGTAACTTTATTTGCCTATATCATAACAACTACATTTTTTGTATTATTCTTGTGTATAGTCTCACACTGTGTCTTTCTATGTCTTCCAGATCCCACCTTCCTGGGTCAATCCATCAGGGAAGTATCGCATTGGAGTTAAAAATGGCTATGAGTTCTTCCCTAAGGCTCTAAAAGAAAGAATACAGGTAGGAACACATGACAATAGTGTTCTACCATGTCTGTCATAGTATTTTGCAACATTGTGATTGGGCACATAGCATCTCTCCTTTGCAGTGGTACTACTATATGTGACCTGCTCTATCGAAATCAGTCGCATTGACCCGAAGACACATTTTGAGTTGTATACACTGTTGGAAAGAGGAGATTCCTGGCTTTCTAATGATATCAAGATTTTTGTTGTACTCCAAATATTAAGCAAAATACGTCACATTATATAATGACTGTCACCGAGTCATCATTTTGAGAAAAAGGCCTTCAAAGTTTCCTCTTCTCTGGAATCCATCGATCTGATTGATTATTAGCGGAGCAAATGATCAAAATAGTCCGGAGGGAAAATATTTCCGTTTGGATTACTGGTCTGGGGGAAGCTCGCGAGTGTGTGTGTGTATGTGTGTGTGTGTGTTTGTGTATTTTTGCGTTTGTGTATATTGTGTTTGTTTCCCGGGGAAAACACTCACGAGAAACACCGGCTGTTGTTATGCTTGCTGTGACGTTAAGTTACTCCGTTCTCCGCTTGTAAATATGCCGTTACAAGCTTCATAGTTGTATTTATCATCTAAATTTGCCGAAACAAGTTTAATATTCTGAAAGCCAAGACTTTGTTTAATTGAAATCAGATGAAAACAAACTGTAACGGACCCTGCCGTGTTATCTATGATTACTATACCTTACATTCATAATTTCAGCCGGAGGGAGGGGGAGCCGCGCTACGGAACAGCAGATTGCGATTGAGAGGTGCCTGTCATCTTCCCTTTACAAGCTTCACAAATGTATTTATCGTGTGATTTTGGAAATAAAAGTTTCATATTCTGAAAGCCAAGACTTTGTTTATTTAAAATCAAACGGAACCCCGAAAAAAATAGTTTTTTCCGCAAATCCACGTTTATTTTGAAATGAGCCGTTGCGACTTCCGACTGATTTCGATAGAGCGGGTCACATATATATTTTTACTTAGGGTAGTCAAACAAAGTGCATGTTTTCAGAATCCTGTAGATGAAATTAATGAAAATGCATTTGCTTGCCATCCTCTGTGGTTGTTTTATTGCACTTATGTTGTACTTTCGTCTACTAGAAAGAGCGAAAGGAGAAGTTGTGGGACCCACCACACCGAGCAGCACTAGCTGAGGTCTCACGCAAAACCGAAGAGTTTGACCTCGCTCACCCAACACCCTCACAGGTCAGACCTACACCATTTTGAGTTCTTTGTGAATTAGTCTGTGTCAATGCAGTTTCTAGTCACAGTAATTTGGTGTTTCCTAATCTTATTTCTATACTGTCTCTTTCCAATGTATCCTTGGTTCCTCTCTAGATGGAGAAGTTGCAGAAAGAAGAGCTGCAGAGTCAGTCAGAGCTGCTGGCTTCACTAGAAAAGAAGTACAGTGACCCTGGTCCTGTATATGACTGTGTGCTTTGGCATGACGGATTCACATGGAGGTAAACCCTATCAACATTTTTCCTTTGCATACATTTATTTTTACCATTCCTCTTCACTTCATACTATTCCTTACATATTTTTCCTTCACATTGTCTGTTCCTATTTGTTCTCTTTAGGGCTGTGGTTGACACTTCAGAGAGTGGAGACCTGCCCCAGTGCACAGTGCTGAGCCCCTACAAAGAGTCGCAAGAGTATGCCACGTTGGGAAATGCTGAGATGCTTAACTACTCTGTTAATATTTATGATGAGGGAAACACACTCTGCATCGTCACCAGTGGAGGTGAGATATATCCCAAAGCACGTAGTCCATCTCTTAAAGGATGCCATCATATAATTCAGTCACAAAAGGATTCTCAGTGTAACAGTCACTCATTGCAGTTTCACCACTTGAGGCTGCATAATCGATTTAATTTTACTCGGTGTATTCTCTAGTCTAACTTGCTTATTTTCTTTTTTAAAGGGGCTCATGGGACACACGTGGCAAGCATCGCAGCAGGTTACTTCCCAGAGGATCCTGAGCGCAACGGCGTGTCCCCCGGAGCCCAAATCCTGGCTATTAAGATTGGAGACACCCGCCTCAGCACAATGGAAACAGGCACTGGACTCATCCGCGCGGTATAATGCCCAGACAAATATAAACAAACTACCCTTTTTTCCTCTTCTTTCAGCCTTTAATTTTCTCTCTCTCTTCTCACTCAAAGATGATTGAAGTCATCAACTACAAGTGTGACCTGGTTAACTACAGCTACGGGGAAGCCACCCACTGGCCTAATACAGGGTATGTATTGCAGCAGGGGTTGTGATTGTGTGGGTTTGTTTTGTGTGGAACACTTTCACTGATTTGTGTCAATTTCTCTCCCAGGAGGATTTGTGAGGTGATCACAGAGGCTGTGCAGAAGCACAATGTGATATTTGTTTCAAGTGCAGGAAACAACGGTCCGTGCCTTTCCACGGTCGGCTGCCCAGGAGGAACCACCAGCAGTGTCATAGGTACGCAGTCAAACATAGTTTCGCCTGTTTAACTGTGTTCAAGATGGCTTTTTATTATTTACAGTAGAAAAGACACATAAACAACACACTGGCCATGATTCCTACAGCTAAAATAATTAGCAGTTTGCTTTATCATGGAATTTCCAAAATCCCTTTTATGGTAAAAAAAATAATAGAAGAAAGAACATTGCGTAGCCAAATTATTTATGTATTAATGTTATTTACATGTTAATTCCTGCCCCCTTCCTCTCTGTAGGAGTTGGAGCATATGTGACTCCAGACATGATGGTGGCCGAGTATTCCCTGAGAGAGAAGCTGCCTCCCAACCAGTACACCTGGTCATCAAGGGGCCCCAGCACAGACGGGGCCCTGGGGGTCAGCATCAGTGCCCCAGGCGGGGCCATTGCATCTGTACCCAACTGGACACTTCGTGGTACACAGCTAATGAACGGCACTTCCATGTCGTCCCCTAATGCCTGTGGCGGCATCGCACTCATCCTCTCAGGTGCGTCCAGGATCATGGACTCATAATAGACGTGGGACTATATTGCATGTATGGAAGATCCACCAAAATGTAAATCTGATGCTAATGTGTGTGTTTTTTTGTGATTTAAAGGATTAAAGCAGAATGGTATCCCTCCCTCTGTTCCTGCGGTGAGGAGGGCGCTGGAGCACACAGCTTTGAAGATCGATGACATCGAGGTGTTTGCACAAGGCCATGGAATAATCCAGGTAACTCTTTTGTGGCTTGTAACAGTCTTAGCATCATCATCATAAGTATTCTGCTGTTTCCTAACATGTTTCTGTGTGCCTTCCTGTAATCTGCTCTCAGGTGGATAAGGCTTTAGACTACCTCACTCAACACGCCTCTTTACCCACAAGCCAACTAGGCTTCTCAGTAAGTGTGGGATCACAGAGAGGCATCTACCTCAGGGACCCAGCCCATGTTCTCGCACCTTCAGATCACGGAGTAGGAATTGAACCAATCTTCCCAGAAAACACAGGTTTCTGTATATTTGCTTTCACACGCATTACATTTAAAGCTTCTTTTGTTCTTCTTTTAATTTGTTTTTATCTTTTAAACAATCTGTATTCTTCTAACGTCCACCACAGGGAACCCTGAGCGAATCTCCTTGCAGCTACACTTAGCGCTGACATGTGCCGCCCCGTGGGTCCAGTGCCCCACCCATCTAGAGCTGATGAACCAGTGTCGCCATGTGAACGTCCGCGTCGATCCTGTGGGGCTGAGAGAGGGAGTGCACTACACAGAGGTAGGGAGAAGAAAGAGAGAAGAAAGAAAAAGCCTTACTGTTTCTGTGTGTATTAATGTGAAACTGATCGCTTTGATTGTTTTTTTCTGTGTTTAGGTGTGTGGGTATGATACATCAGCACCTAGCTGTGGACCTCTTTTCAGAGTCCCAATCACAGTTATAATCCCTGCCAAGTGAGTTCTTTCAGCATATTTATTCTCTTAGAGGTGTGTTTGTGTCTGACAACTTTCTCCCTTGACCTCACAGAGTGACAGATAGTCGTAATCCAGAGGTGTGTTTCACAGACGTGCACTTCAGACCGGGTCAGATCAGACGCCACTTCATCACTGTTCCTCAGGGAGCCTCCTGGGCAGGTCGGTACACCTTGTGCCTTACATTTAATTCAATAACCTTTATCTTTTTAAATATTAGTACAAGTGACTTGAAATCACTTTCCATTCATCCTTTTGTCATCCTCCACATTCTCTCTTGTCACCGTTCTGCTGTTTCTCACCTCTCAATCCCCATCTCCCTCCTGCAGAGATCACGCTGACCTCTCATTCGGGAGACGTGTCCTCAAAGTTTGTTCTCCATGCGGTGCACCTGGTCAAACAGAAGGCGTACCGAGCTAATGAATTCTACAAGTTCTCCTCACTGTTGGAAAGGGGCTCACTAATTGAAGCTTTCCCTGTGCTGGTACGTATATTAAGTTACAAATGTACTTTCATATATCTGGGGTTTTACACAAAGTCATTTTGTGTGTGTGTATTGCAGCTAAAAGAAAAGTGCTTTGAATGTAGTGACTTATTATTTGGTAAATGCATACAAAAATCGCAAAACTACTTATTAATTATTTCTGCATCTCCTCTCCAGTCTGGCAGGATAGTAGAGTTTTGTATTGCACGCTGGTGGGCAAGCCTGGGAGACGTCACCGTGGACTACAGCATCTCGTTCCATGGACTCCACACTTCCCCTTCACCCCTGCACATAGTAAGTAGAGAGAGAGAGAGAGCGAAACAGAACAGAAATACACATCAGCATTGCTCACAAATAACCCTCGCATTGTCAGTTCCCTGTTTGTAACTCTGATTTGTCTCTTCCCAGAATGCCTCGGAGGGAGTGACGAGTTTTGATGTGTCGTCACCTCTGAGGTACGAGGAGGTGTCCCCCACTATCACCCTTAAGTCCTGGGTTCAGCCTCTCAGGTAATGTCAGACTCACTCGTGTAGATTGTGTTGTTCCACATCAGTGCAGTTGTTTCATCCTTCTTCTTCTTCTTGTTGTTGTTATAGGCCCTTAAATTCAAAGATAAAAGCCCTGGGATTGAGGGACGTTCTGCCAAACAACAGACAACTCTATGAGATTGTCCTCACCTATAGCTTTCACCAGGTACTGCCAACACCATCTGCACTTTCTATGAAAGGAAATGTTGATTTTGTTTTTTATGTGTGTAAATAATCTTCTTTTGCTCTGGTCTCAGCCGAAGAGTGGAGAGGTCACCCCCAGCTGTCCCATGCTGTGTGAGCTGCTGTATGAGTCTGAGTTTGACAGTCAGCTCTGGATGCTATACGACCAGAACAAGAGACTACTGGGCTCTGGGGATGCCTACCCACACCAGGTACCATAGACCCATTAAGAGCTAACATTACATGCTTTTTCGTATGTTGCACACAATGAGCTAACGCATCTCCCCCCCTGTCTCTTTAACTCCTCCAGTATTCTCTGAAGCTGGAAAAGGGGGACTACACCGTGCGTCTGCAGGTCCGCCACGAGCAGTCCAGTGAGCTGGAGCGCCTTAAGGACCTTCCGTTTGTGGTGTCCCACCGTCTGTCCACCACTCTCAGTCTGGATGTCTACGAGTCGCACCGCGCTGCCCTCATGGCCAAGAAGAAGGCAAACTCTCTCACCCTCTGCCCGGGCGCCACTCAGCCCTTCTACATCACAGCTCTGCCAGACGACAAGTGAGTCAATTTGACCAGGGACTTGTATTAACATATCCACAGTCATTCTGAGGAACAAGCAGCTTTGACCACAGTAGATCCTTTCAGACTCTACAGCAGATGGAGCAGAGATTAAGATGTTCCTCTGTTAACAGAATACAATTTAATCCATCATCTAAACACAATGAATAAATATTTCAGTATTTTTTTTGTAATATTGTGATCAAATGTATTTAATGTTCCTGACTTTTTATTTTCTTTCTCCCCTTTGTTGCTTCTCTCCTTTTTCTTTTCCAGGGTCCCAAAGGGGACGAGTCCAGGATGCTATCTTTCAGGTTCTCTGGTTGTTCCCAAGAGCGAGTATGGCAAGAAAGCAGTGAGTTGTCTTTTTGTTGTTACCCTCTGTCCTCCAGAGCAGTCATCATCCTCCCTCCAGGGATCTAAAGTCACGGTAGCTTTCAGTCTACACTAGATACTTCACAAACGAACACAGTACATATCTGGGTCAATCCTTTCGCATGAAAATCTCAAATACACTAATTTCATGTGTAATGCCCCAAGTACTTGTGGTCCTGAGGATCGAAAGGAAGATCATTGCTCCAATACTTGTTGCTTTACAATTTTTGTAGGTTTTGTATGGCTTCTGTCATCGCCTTTAGACCTGGTCGGAGTCTGGTGCTCTGGTGCTGCTTGAATTGGTTGATAACCTCTTAGTTGGTGCATACCATTTTCATTTTTTATTTTCCTCTCATTTGCCTTTGTCTGCGCTTCTGCTGTGAGCACCTCTGTCAGATCTCCACTTACTGGTTCTGGCTGTTTATTGGCTCATTTGGATCGCAGATTAATAATAACATTCAAAGCTGCTAACCTGATCAAATGACTCTGATGCTTATAGACCTTGTTTTTATAATTTGTAAATGATATAAATATTAGTGAGGAATGATACAAACAACCAGAAGGTCTGTCTAAAGTGATCAGTAGTTTCTAATGGAAGTACATATATGATACCAGACATTTTTAGTGAAATATTAGTTTGAAGGGAATAGCACAAATGGAAAATGTTCTCTGATGTCTGCAGTACAATGGCAAATGTGTTTTCTTCTTGAGCTTATTCTCACTAACTGTACGGGCTTGCAGGTGCTCCTCTTTACTGAGCTAAATGTCGCACATCTCTGAATACTTTAGTTTGAACAGCTTTGATGGTCTTGACTGACTCCTATACGCAAAGATCTTCTTGTCAAGCACCTATTAACAAATTGTGATCAATGTTTCTATATATTGTTTCAATTTGCGTTTTTATTGTTTGAGTGTCTTGCACACATGAATTTCACTTGATGTAAAATATTCACTGTGAACCCACATCACATTTGACTTTAGTTTTCAGTCCTGAGTGAAGATACAGTGCTTATTTAGCAGATGTAAGAAAAACAAGTTGAAATCAGAGTGTCAACATCAAGTACACCGCTGTTTACGTCTGTAGCATTTAGAAGAGTACGACAGGTAGGTGGATTAGACTCCTGAGGATGAAAGATAAAACATGAAGAAAGAGAGAATCCTTTTTTGGTTTGTTTGTGTTGTTCTTTTCCTTACTGTGTGTTATTCTGACCACCAGGGGCAGGCCTCTGCAAAACGACAAGGGAAGTTTAAAAAGGTACTGGATGAGCTAGAAACACTGTACAACGTCCACTGCTCTCCTACAACAGATGGAGCTTATTGCTTAAAGGGGATTTCTTCTATCTTCATTAATTATACCAAATCATGTCATAATTGCTGTAGTGAAATATGCACAAGCTAGCCTTAGTGGGTATTTATTTTGATATAGAGTAGTTAACGTTTTCTGGTGGTCGGTAGAGCTTAATATTATATCTTTAAATATGAACATCAATTGATCATGACACTTTTTAAGCTTGTATAACTGGGAATGAAACATACTTTGCTTAGCTGATTTAAAAAGGAGATGGAGTCTCAGAACATTGGCAGGAAGAGTTTACAGTAGTAGAGGAGGTCATTCATTATATTCAATCAGGTATTTTTTCTGACGGAACCATTTGTTTGTGTCTTCGTACAGGATGTCGTTCCAATCGTGTACCACTTAATTCCTGCTCCCAACAAAACAAAGAACGGAGGGAAGGAGAAGGACAAGGAAGCAGACAAAGAGAAGGACGTGAAGGAGGAGTTTGCAGAAGCTATGAGAGACATGAAGATTCAGTGGATGACAAAGTGTGTACAGTTACTCTTCTGCCTTGTTCACATATTGCTCGCTTTTCTTTTAAATTCTCAGTTAACCATCTGTCATCCTCCCTCTCCTCTGTTCAGGTTGGACACCAGCGCCATCTATGATGAATTGAGGGAAAACTACCTAGATTACCTCCCCCTGCACGTGCAAAGACTGCACCAGCTGGACTCTGAAAAGGTGAGGGCAGGAATATAAGATGAAATGGACGAAGCTTTAACCAGATTAAACCTCCGGCGCATTTCATTATTTTCTCTTAACACAGCAACTTCCTCTGCTCACATGTTCTCCTTGTGTTCTGGTTCAGGAGCGCGCCAAACGTCTGAAGGAGGTTGTGTCTGCTGCCGACATCGTCATCTCCCACATCGACCAGACGGCCCTGGCTGTTTACCTCACCTTGAAGACTGACCCTCGGCCTGATGCCGCCACAATCAAGACGTATGTCACACAAAATAAAAATATATAATAGAAACTAGGGATGGAAATGAATATTGGAAATGATTCAGGTATTCGATTATGAGTCACGGATATCTTTTGTTCTGTAGTCTACGTTAGTTCCGTTTTCCTGGGGTCGAGTATTCGAAAAATAAATGTGCCTTCAAATTCCCATCCCTAGTACAAACTTCTTTAGAGACTTTTACCAAGGCACACTCAATTGATATAATTGATGCAGCAGAATAAGAGAGTTAACCACACAAAAAGGAAATGACCATACCCCATTGAACATAACTCTGAATGCATTGAACATGACTCACTTGTATCTTACCTGGTATACAACATCAACTCAAAGACACAGTAGCAGGAAATGTAGCCGAAGTGGTAAGCATATTCACCAAATGATAAAGTTAGTTTGTATTTGATTTACAATAACTGCACATGTCAAAGTGGCACTGTGGAGCTTTTGAAAGGGCGGCAAAAGTTGAAATCACAAGCCCTTTACACATTTCTCTGCTGTAATGCTCTCAGTTGTTGTGTACAGCCAGCGTATGGATGTTTAAGTTAGCAAAACATAAGGAAGATCTTGCTAAGTTGTTTTTGGGGCAAGGTTGCTCACCTCTGCTATTACTCACTGTAGAAAGCTCACTGAACTGCTGAACCTACTCCTGACCTTTCTCTACCCTCTGTTTCAGGGACATGGAGAAGCAGAAGTCCTCTCTGCTGGACGCTCTGTGCAGGAAGGGCTGCGCTCAGGCCGACCAGCTCCTGCTGCCCCCCCCGCCGCAGGAGGGGGCCGCTGCAGTCTCCACGGGAACACCACCACCACCACCACCACCACCACCACCAGCAGCAGCAGTAGAAGAAGAAGAAGAAGAAGAGGGGATACTGGAACAGGTGGCCAGCAGCTCTGATGACACAGTGTACTGCGTGGTGAAAGCGTTGACAGAAACGTTTTGGGAGGTGCAGAAGTGGGCGGAGCTAACTGACTCCAAGGTGAGCCAAATGTTCTTGGAAAATTAAGAAGAGGCCAAAGTCTTTCGAAAGAGGGTTGTTAAGTTGGTTAACTGTTCGAAGTATAAACATTTGATGTTAGATAGATAGATAGATATATACTTTATTAATCCTACATTGGGAAATTATTTTGTTACAGGACCAGTGTGCTCAACAATAAAATACAAATACTTAAAAAAGTGGAATAGAGTTAACAATTAAACATCAAATCAAAATGAAAAATAGTAAATCAAATATAAACAATGTTATCTGCCATTGTTATGGTCTACTTTGCAACGTACCTGTTCTGTCTGTTACACAAAGTTCACTAGTTCCTACTGGAGACACACATTTTCTATACACAAAATAAGTCAAAAAACGGTTAAATAATGTTGTCTAAAACCTTGCTTTCAGTCTTTTTATTGGATTTCAATGCAATTATGATAAAAAGAATATTAGCAGATCCATTATTTTTGTATCATTCCCTTACCTGTGATTTGTTTATTCTATAGCGTTGTGTAATTAGTTATAAGGTAAACACGTTCTACCTAAGTAATGTGCCTTCCCTCTGTTTCTCTCCTGTTGATGTGATTTCTATACATTTCAAGCTTATACCATTTTTTTTGTCTTTCATCTTTGCCACTCTTCAGGTGTTGATGTTTTCATACAAACACGCTCTTGTGAACAAGATGTACGGCCGAGCTTTAAAATATGCCTCAAAGATGGTGGAGGAGAAGCCCAGCAAAGACAACATGAAGAACTGCATCCAGGTACGAGAGCAGGGAGGGCCGCTAATGAGATACTCAATATGTTTGGCTGCACTGTCTCCAAAGATAATAAAAAAACAGTGGTGATTTATTGTAATCGGTCAGCTTTGTTCCTCTGTACTGACTTCTCTCTTTGTTTTCCAGCTGATGCGACACCTCCGATGGAGCCACTGCGCCACCTTCAGTGAGAACTGGCTCCCTGTCATGTACCCCGCAGAATACACAGCTTTCTAGGCACAGACGCACATGCATGCACCAGCAGCACAGTCCATTACATGGTAACTTGAATATCATGCCCCTCAGGGTCACATGGTCTATGCATCTGGGTTTTCAAATATAGATGTAGAGGGACACCTAAATGAAGGATAACGGAGTGTGAACGGTTAGAGGCACTCGACACCTTATAAGGCGAGAGGGGATCACGCTCGTCCTGTCTTTAAATGTCTTGTCATCACAGACAAAACAAATCATTCAGTTTATATTTTTTAAATGTTTTAAACCGTTGCCAAGGCTTGATGATACCGTAGCTCGGTGCTTTCTGAGTTGGCTGTTGTCCTTTTTATTTTGGTGTCAGATACACATTTAGAGGCTTTCACATCCCGCTCGTCGTCAGCTCACCGCACTCCATATCACATAGGTAACCTCATTCACTGCATATCACATAGGTCACCTCGTTCTCTCATGTAAATATTGAAAAAGGCCAGTGCGGACTCCAGGGACGCACTCGAAGCCTTTTACAGAAGAAAATAAAGAAATGACGATCTACTCACTTTCAAAATGGACAGCAGAAAAACTGGCCGTTATGATACTTAGAAGACAGGAGGACTTGCTGCTGCACGATGTTCGGACATACGAGGTCACACACAGTCTGACCTATCCCTGAAATAAAAGGGAGTCAGAACTTGAACACTTCTTCTTTTGTTTTTTGACTGTTTCAGCCAGGCCTGGTTGATAAAGTTGTCTCGTCTGTCTCTTTAGGCTCTCACTTGAGTACACAACACAATATTAAGGGTGCCTTTCTACATGTACCTTACCCTTTTTTTCAGTTGAGATAAAAACAGTGCAAGGCTGCAGAATCAGTAGCGTCTGCAAACAATAATTTTACCCATCATCCTTTGTTGTCAAATGTGTTTTTAAACTCATCTATCTGCAGTATGCCGTGCCCGTGCAGGCCGTCAGTGACTTGTCAGCCAATAGGAAGCCACAAACACTTTCAGGGCATCATATGTGTGTGCCCCCCCCACTCCATACTGCAGGTACCTGAGCAGCACATTTGAAAAACTTTATTTACAGACCTCACTCGCATCACAAATGCAGTTTAGAGAGAGCGGAAGGATGTCCACATTTCAATGTAAAATGTTCACGCAGTATTAGATGTTTTTCTGCAGCATTCACAATGTTGCACTTGTACACAGTGTCATAAAATAATGTACATACACACATAACGTAAACAAATATAAAAATGCAATAGGTATATACAACAAATATTATTCTAATTGATGTATTTTGCATATATGCATGTCTTCTAAGGTGTAAGAAGGAACAATGGTTTGTTTGGATGCAGATTTTAGTTTGTTTCAATTAGAAAGGTTTTTAAACATGATTCTGATGATAATCCACTGTTTGTTGTTTTCATGAGTGTGTGTTTGTGAATGACTGTGTTACTTGTGAGCATATCTTTGTGTACATGAACATGTTCTCCCTACAGAACTGATGGTAGCCAATAGGAGGAGGTTAAGCATGGATTTGTTTTTTGTTTGTTCTCTGATACCTTATTTACTTAAAAGGACTGTGCCAGTGGTTTTGTATGTTTTATTAGCTTTTAAAAAAATATATGGCTAGCAATTTAACACAGGAATTTTTGTTATGTTTAATGGGTTTTCTCAACCAACTGTTTCTTTTAGGAGACTTTTCAAACTCTCATAGTGAACACCAAGTCTGCATTAAAGGCCCTTAAACAACATTTCTCCATCTATTTACCATGAACAGTGGGGTTTTACATAAAGATAAAACATTTCTGGCAAATTCAGAAATTGTTTATTTCACGAGAGCTTTCTGTTTGTTCTACCTCACTGGGTTTAGGTTCGACAGGCAATGTAGAACCTAATGTCACAGAGACGTGTATATAATGGGAGAATTTTTTTTATCTGCCAAGTACAAAACTGCACCTCATACGCTTGCAAATGGTAAGGCTTAAATGAATCTTAGGCGAGGCAAAACTCGCAGAAAAACTCATCAATCAGGTTACTAATAAGGACACACTGCTGTTAGTTTTCACTTGTGACCAATTTGTAGACAATTTGTGACCTTTTTTTGCATGTGGATCTGTAAAAACAAAAAGTGATTTTCTGTCTGTAGTGTTACCAGTTTAACCAAAGAATGACTGCCCCATGTTAAGTTGGTTTAAATACACACAAAGGCAAAAACAATTATACAATTGGACAATAGGAGGAAATCGACTTGCCCTAAAACCACCCAGTCTGAGAACCACTCGTCTTCTACATGTAACAACTCTAAATAACATTTGATGACCTCACGTGAAAGATGCATACTGTAAATGCAGACATTTGAAAGCCAAGGCCTTTCATTCTCATTGGAGTAAACAATCTCTTCTGAGATGATGTTAACTGTACTAACTATAAACACACAGCAGGTGGCGCAGCCCATGTTGCCCCCGGGTTAACGACACAGTCTTACAACTTGTGTTTCTGTTTTTAGCCGGGGCTCGCAGACACTTTCTGCAGCAGCGCCAGCACCTCTGAGTGCGCAGGGCTTACTGAAGTCAGTTGGGGTTAACAGAATTTGTGCTTATTGTTTTTACTTTTTTGCACCTTTTGTTTTCTCTTCGTCCTTTTTTCTCCTTTTTCACATGTTTGGCTAATGCAGATGTTACCTTCAGGACTCTCCTGTCTAAAGTACTTTGCCAATAACAGTCTCTCTCAAAAATGGCCTTAACTTTCACCGCAGGACTGAACCGTCCATTACTCTTTATCTGTTGCTTTCACTCTGCTGGTGTCAGGAAAGACTTCTTCTGGAAGTTGAGTGTTTATAATTGTAGTCATAAAATGTAGTAAATGCCAATATTTTACAGAATGTTATGAAATAAGGTTGTATGATCTTAGTATAATTTTATACCCCTTCTTCCTTGACTACATGGGAAACACACAAGCTACTGTCACACTATTTTATTGTCACATGGAAATAAGTCACATACAAGGAACACAACACTGAATAAAAAGGATTTGTGCTCTAGTCATCACTTGCCTGTATAAACGATTTTCAGCAGTGTTTCTGTTGTGTTTTTAGGTGAGCGATATTACTTTTCATTGCATTCTAAATAAGAAACAGCCAGATGGACCTTTTCTAGAAAGGAACAATTCCATTTTTTTTTCTGTATTTATATATGTTTAAAAAGATATTAACAATTCACATGCAAACAATTACAGGACATTTCATAACTGATACAACCATGAAGCAAACTCTTTTAATTGTTTTGACTTTAAAATATCCCACAACCCAACCCGACACATTCAAATGTGTTTGTTTCAAAGCAATCTAAAATTTAAAATATTAAGGATACCGTCACATCAAAAATAGAGAAGTCAATATATTGGAACAACTCACAAACTGGAAAATGACAGAAATCAAGCATTTTTTCTTGGAAATATGTTTTTTTTTCCTCTTCACAGACACATAATGGAATTGATTTGAATAAACTTTACTCAGACCTTATGTTTATCAGTTTTGACCTTATCAGGTTATACATGGTGTTCTTAAGGTTGTATATATGGTATTAGACCGGGATGACGTGTAGTAAAAAGTGCAAGTGTCCAGGAGCTGCAACTAAACACACAGATTATGAGATAATTGGCCAAAGTGTAAACATGTAAAAACCTAATTTGATCATTAAAATGTATCCAGGTCAATTATAACTCAACAGAACTAATTCAGTTTAATATGAAGAGATTAAATGTGTAAACCCTGACCTCGCCTTCTCCAATACTGATCAAAACCGACACTCTTATTTAATGATATTTAATATAAAATAGTAATCATTATTCAAAAGATTACAGGAAACACTAAAAGGAAACAAGTTATGCAGGTTGAACATTTAAAGCTGTGCTGTCCAAACAATGTAAGTTGTTTTACTTACTATATTAGCTCAACTATATGCTGTGATTCTCGCCCTTCACTTCCCAAAGAATAATGCTAATAATGAAACATTCAAACAGAGGCCTGTAGGGGTCATTATGAAATCTCTCAATCTCTGCACGTTGCCATGAAGATCTTTATCTCTCCGTCTTCAACCAGCATACTCGTGTTGAAAGCTTTTTTAAAGTTCTCAGTGAAAGTCAGATCAGTCACAAACCTCACCTTGTTGGCCCAGATCAAAGTAGTTCCTGGCCTGCAGAAATGCTTCATGGTAACCAGGAGCTCATCCAGGAAGTCGTGATGGTAGACCACATCAGCTGCCAGCACGTAGTCATAGTGATGGACAGACGGAGGGTAGGAGCGCTGCAGGTCGTGTCCCCAGGACAGAGCTGCTACCTGCGGCGTGTGGCTGCAGCGGCCCCTGGTGTTCCTCATCACGTTGGCCAGTAGGTTACCTAACACCTCAGGTAGGTCTGTAGCTGTGGCTGCGGCTCCTGAGGATCCAGAAACAATAATCTGTCATCAACATGGCTACAGAAACAGTAACATATTACACACTGAGAATAACTGGATTTTCAACCTCTATTTTTATTTCCTTTTATCTAATTTTCTATATGTATTGTACACATTTTATCTAATTATTTTTATTTTAACAATTTTTCTTAGTCTTTGTTTTAGTAATTCCCTCTGAAGTAGCAATATGAATCAAGGATTTTTAACTTAGTTTCCACAAGAGTCACTTTGACCTTTTCTACTTACTTTCAAAGCACTTGTATAATATGTATTAAAACTTCCAATGCCTCCAGACCTTTTCTTTATTAAAGTTTAACCTTGAATTTGAACCTCTCACCAAGGAACGCAGCTACAATGGACAGGAGGCCAGTTCCTGCTCCGATCTCCAGGACTGTCTTGTCCACTAAATTCAACTGTTGGCGATGGGTGTCCAAGTAGTGACAGAGAGTCAGAGCCTGAGGGAAACATGACTTACAATTCAACATCTTTGAGTTCATTTTGTTGAATAACAACCTCTGAATAAAAGCAATAGCTTCTCAATAAATAGCATCCCCATAATCCAAAAGTGTATTAGGAAGTGTAAGGGTGTAGTGTCTTTCAAATTCTGGTGAATTAGTCAATATCACCATACGGTGCATTTGAGACTTCCCCATTTCCAAAAAAAAAATCTGAGATTTTCCATTGAATTTCATATTCATTGTATTAAGTATACGTTATGCTGTTAAAAATGGATGTTGGTCAAGCTCCCACACTTTTTATAAATTAAAGGTGGGGTAGGTAATTTTGGAGAAACCAGCTCGAGTGCGCTAGAATTTGAAAATACACAACCAGAAAAAATCTGCCACTTCCTTACAGAGCCCCTCCTCCAACACACACGAACGCGCACATGACCAATGAGGGCACGAGATAAGTTTGTGCACAGATGGAAGGCTGACAGGCAGGTAGGCCATCCAGTTATTTTAGCCGGGCCGGCTAAAATGATTGGTCGTACTTTTTACAGTATTACGGCTTCCACAGATGACATTTTTTGATGGATTTTTTGTCAAAGCACTTAAGATATTCATTGCTATCGGGATGTTAAGAGCTTTCCATGGAATATAACAAAAAGTGTATCTCGAGCCGGTTTCTCAAACTTACCTACCCCACCTTTAACTGCAAGTACATGAAAACAGCAAAATGTATCCACCCTGTCATGGACAAAATTCAAAGATTTAATACATTGTAATTACATAGTGATTATAAAATGTACATTTTCAGAAAGCTATAGCCTAATCCCTTTCTCAACAATATATTTCAGTTAATGGAAAAAGTATTTGGATAATAATAAAATGATGGCAAACTATTTGTACCATGTCCACCCTGTCATGGAAGGCTTGCTGACAGGGTGGACAATGGTACAAATAGTTTGCCTTAATTTAATTTGTATTCAAATACTTTTTCCATTAAAGGTAGGGTAGGTACGTTTGAGAAACCGGCTCGAGATCGCTAGAATTTGAAAATACACAACCGGAGAAAATCTGCCACTTCCTTAAAGAGCCCCTCCTCCAACACACACGAAAGCGCACATGACCAATGAGGGCACGAGATAAGTTTGTGCACAGATGGAAGGCTGACAGGCAGGTAGGCCATCCAGTTATTTTAGCCGGGCCGGCTAAAATGATTGGTCGTACTTTTTACAGTATTACGGCTTCCACAGATGACATTTTTTTATGGATTTTTTGACAATGCACTTAAGATATTCATTGCTATCGGGATGTTAAGAGCATTCCATGGAATATAACAAAAAGTGTATCTCGAGCCGGTTTCTCAAACTTACCTACACTACCTTTAACTGAAATATATTGTTGAGAAAGGGACTATAGCTTTCTGAAAATGTACATTTAATATTATTTATGGAAGGCTTTCAGACAGGGTGGACAATGACAGGGTGGACATTTTTGGCTAATATTAGCATTTAATGAGCACATGGTGGACCTTCAGTTAGCAACATGATTCCGTTAGCAAGGTTACTGTGTACTGTTTAACAAATATATTTCGAATTTCTGAAAGGTTTTTATATTAATTGACATTTCACTATGACAGAGTGGACATGTTAAGCTTGACAACATCCAACTATAATATGATTACAATTTCGAAATATAATTAAAAAAACGTACTTTGCAACTAGCCAATTTAATGTCTCAGCCTCCATTGAGGAAAGACAAAATGGTGGTAGTGATGTCACTGAAAACATCAGAGGGTTTTTTATGGGGCAGTCACCCCTTAATGACAGGGTGGACAGCAAATGTCAGGGACACATGCAAAATGTTCAATATTATTATAAAAATAGAATATACATGATCAAAATGACTCGTTTTATCAAATAACTCGTTGTGGACAATAAAACCATATAATTCTTTTTTTAAATGTAGTATGATTTAACCACTTATTACACACACTGTAGTTAGCAGAGTAGTGTGTGGGACATGCCAAAAATCACTTACATCCAATTAAAAAATAAGGTATAAAAATGAAGGAAACACATTTCAAGAGACTTATCATTGTACTGATATGTGTGTAAATGTTTGTCCATTTAGACCTCAGAGTTTCATTATTCTGCTACATTTTCATGATAACTGAGTGATTCTGATGGGGACACCAAAGTTACTTTATAGTGATATTGACCCGAATGCAAGTTTTAAAAAAAAATGTTCTCACCCCCGGCCAAACGGTGCCTGCGTAGGAGTCCAACGCCCCTTGGATGATGATCTTCTGCCCAGCGAAATAGTACACTTCTTTATCTATTCTGATGCAGAAGCAGGGAGCCCAGGCTAGTTTATATTGCTCCTTGATGTCTGATTCCTCTGGAGGATACAACAATCAGACACTTAGGACCTCTGTGGTCTCTCTGTACGAGTTTGGAAATGAATGCTTTTTATTGCTCATATTCATCTTACCTTTTTGCTCCTCTTTATCTTGGTCACCCCCATCTTCCTGCTGCACTTCTTCCTCCTCTTCCTCCTCCTCTTTCTCCTTCTCCTCCTCTTCCTCCTCTTCCTCTTCCTCCTCCTCCTCTCTTCTCTTTCCGATTATCATGTGATCATTTGCCGAAGAAATTAATGATGGCAAAGTATACATGTAGGATCCTGCTCTTGGAAAAGGACAGATAGATGGTGCTTCATTAAAAGTTGTCGTCCTCAAATTATCCTCAAAATATTTATTTCTGATACTAAATCCTAATATTTAAAATGACAACAAAATAAAACAGATTACAGGATAAACAAAAAATAAATACAGATGAATACATTATATTTGTAATAGTCACTTTTAGTTCAGCATGTCTCCCCTTCATTCTTGTATTGTAATTTAATTTATATGTTTATACCATTATTTATTAACTAACACTAGTAGTACAGCGGATAAGCACAACAATTGTGAATTTTATGAGAAAAGCATGACATTTCTAGCATAGTTAGTGCATACCATAAGGTTTATTTTCAGATGTGGAGGGAAGTCAGATTTGACCTGTGAGGACCGTGAGAGGTCAAATCCAAGACGGCCGCCAGTCTCTCGGGTCAAATGTTCAAACACGCTTAATTTTAGAACCAAACATTGTAGAAAAACATTTAAGGTGTCATATCCAACTAAATTAGGGATGCCCAATCATTTGGTGATACTTTTGGGATCGCCAGAATTCACGAAAATGCATTTAGGTGAAGATAAAGGTAGAAATTGACCAAAAATAAGCTGTCAATCAGTTGAAATTTGCAAAATTGCAAATTATTTATCGTGTGTGTGTGTGTGTGTGTGTGTGTGTGTGTGTGTGTGTGTGTGTGTGTGTGTGTGTGTGTGTGTGTGTGAAATCTGACTTCCCTCCACATCTGAAAATAAACCTTATGGTATGCACTAACTATGCTAGAAATGTCATGCTTTTCTCATAAAATGCACAATTGTTATAATATGAGAGCTTATCCGCTGTACTATAGTTGATGTGAACATAAACAAAGCATGTAAACACTCATTTTCTTAAAGATAATCTTCTGTCAGACTACATGAGAGAAACGTTTCAAAACATACTTTGCAAAGTCTTGTTATAAAACTTGATAACAAAATATCATACAACAATACCATCAAATGAAATACTGCAGAGTACGTTGAAAATATACCGTACTCCTCTTCTTACAGGGATTTTGTAAATATAGTCAAAACCTCCCTCTCAAACCCACTACCTGTGACCTTTGACCTTACCTGCTGCTGCTCTTTTTCCCAGTGAAGAATCTCAGGAGAAATCAGACTGCATCCGGAGACCTCTGACTTTGAGGTTATAGAGACTGAGCATCCTGTTGCCACACCCATCACCATCACAAGGCCACGGGGTATTTTTAGACCCTTGCAGGAGAACTCAACACAAGTAAGAGTGCACTTAGATACAAGCACACACACACACATTCACTCACACACACACTCACACACACAGACTCACAAACAACAAAGATGAGTCCGTGGGGGAGCCAAATAGAAAAGAGCTAGTGACGATGCCGAGTAGCCATTTATCTTCGCCTCCAGTGACACTTATGGACTTCTCTGCTTTTGCTTTCTGGAAATCACGATGGACTGTAACCTCATCCTGGATATCACATATAACGATATAATATGAAAGAGTGAATTATTGGCTCCTACTAAATGTCTTTTCAGCTGATAAATGTCTCATGTCATGGTAATCCACCTGGTAGTCTACAAATAGTAACGTAGAGAGAACTAGACCGATACATGATTTGTGTTTGACTTGAGAGAATCTTGGCAGAAAGCCCTTGAATTGTGAGTTGAAACGCAAACATTTTGAACCCAAAAGCCTCATTTGAAAAGACCTCATGCAAAGTACTACTCAAAGATGACAAACATAGTCTAGAATGTGTCCATGCTGCCCTTTTTTCCTGCAACGTCCTCAATTGCTCTACCAGAAATGGGAGGTAACAGGATCAGGCTGGTATTCAACCCACATGCATTACCCCCCAGCCCCTCTAAGCTAAGAAGGGGGCTCCTGAAATATAAACTCAATTAGCCATCTCTCGGTTACATATTCACAGCCTTTGGCCTTAAAGTATTCCTTCTCAGATATCGTTAAACTAATTCCACTCAGATCCCAAAACTTGAAGTGCATCCAGGAGCTCTGGGTGGTTGGATATGTTGATGGGGAGTGTACAGTGGTTAGGTCATTGCTCAAATGTGTGTTGATGTGTTGCAGCCTTATTTGGAATAAATATAAGAGTTTTTAAGCCTGATGAGGGGCAGCATCTTTGTTTTGTCCCTGAGTGAAGGGTTGTCTCTTATCTAAAGACTGTTGAAAGAATTATAAAGTTACCCGATACCTCTTTAAGGCCGCACACAGTCATCAGCTGTTGAGTATTTGTTTGTCTTCTCAGTGATATTGCATTGTGCATCACTGAACCCAGCTTACATAGCCTCTCGTGTTCTTCACAAAGCTTTTGTTCATGCAGGCAAATCAAATTAAATCAAAGTTTATTTATAAAGCACATTTAAAAACGATTTTTGGTCGGGCCAAAGTGCTGTACATGTAATAAATACTACAATCATAAAAACACATTACTACAATCACAATAAAAGACAATAAATTACAACAGATATATAAAAAAAAAAACACAGGGAAAAGTCAGGAGTCGTGCTCCGCTCTGACTAAAAGGCCAGGGAGAAGAAGTGTGTTTTAAGAGTAGATTTAAAAACCCCTAGGGTCTGGGCCGACCTCACATGGAGGGGCAGAGTGTTCCAGAGCCTAGTGGCAGCTGCTGCGAAGGCTCGGTGCCCTCTGGTTTTGAGCCTGGTCTTGGGCACTATCAGCAGCAGCTGGTCAGCAGACCTTAAAGCTCTGGCTGGGGTGTAGCGCTGGAGGATTTCAGCTATATAGGCCGGAGCCAGCCCATTTAGTGCTTTAAAAACAAATAAAAGGAGCAGTCACACATCCATCACAGGGGAAAACACACAAGAATGGCTGGACAGAAAATATTTGAGGACTTGATAGATTAAATAGGTCATGTTAATAACAGATGACTCTAACATTCACATTCAAAGTGTGTGTGTGACTCACCTTACTTAAGCAGCACATACTGTCAAATATGGATGTGATCCTCAATTTGACCTCTTTAAAATATTTGTCTTGTGATATACTACCCAAAGAACTCCATTATATATAGGTTTAAATATAAATGTTGCAAACTATTTTGAAATGGTAAGATTTGGTAAGGGCATTTGCTAAATGTTAAATGTTTTTTTGTTCAAGTGTTTGATGGTTTTAACTATGTTACTGTCCCAACTATAAAATGGGATTACGCTTCCAGAAAGTGCCTTTAAAATATTTTGAGTTTAGATGGCATATCATATTTTTAAATTGATATGTCAATACTAGTTACAAACAGTTTCCTATTTAAACAGTAAATCATCACAGAGCAAAATAAGCACTTATAGATTTGAGGTTGAGTCCACCGTTTAGCTCTGTTTTCTTCCCCAACAAATCCTTTGAGAAATATTTGTCTCTTTAGCCATTAAATGCTCCACTATGTTCACCAACCAGTCACCTACAGTGTTGACAGCTTTGTGCTGATAACTTTGAACCTAAGCTTTACCCTTCAGTATGTAGGTCCCCAGAGTACAACATTATAGGCTACCCTTCAATACTTTGATTGAAATATATTTTTCACCTTCTCGTTGAAACGAGCTCTTCAAACAGTGATTAAAACATGCTGAACATGTTAAGTTACACAGCAACACACCTCCTAACTAAAATGCATAGGGGCATCAGAAATCTACGGGAAAAACAAGAGTCATGTTGACCCCTAGTGCTGTGAGGTGACTGAACCAAAACATCATCAACCAAGACCTGAAATGTGAGAGTGTAGCTGCTGATGGCTGACAACCAGCTTTAAAAACGGAATATGATCCTGCAGAGGGGAGCTCAGCCATGTGGCAAAAACAAAAAAGCATTTCGAGCATTGACGTCACTATCCTGATTAGTGTGACCAACCCAACACATTAAATGTATATCCAAACAAAGTTGCCAAATTATTAAGAAAAGTGAAACATTTTTAAATATCTGTTACGTGCCAGGCAGGCTGTACTTGTGTGGTTCTCCTTCCCTCCTGCTTTTCTCTCTTCTCCCTGTCTTCTGCACAGCTAATCAGCAGCTGATCAGGACCTGCCTGTGCACCAGAGTCTGATGGCTGATTGGATCCTCTCACCCTCAGCTGGCCTATCAGCAGCCAGGGCCGACCATAAAGGAGGCACCCAGGAAGTCTTCTCGCTCTCTCACTCTGGGTTGATTGCTGATGGAGGAGCATGCAATTGACTACCTTGTAACGACAATATTCCTCTTTGTTTTGTATGACCTATATTGAAAGTGTGTGTGTTGAGAGGTGGAGGAGTTAGGTAAGTCTGGGGTACCCTGTACACTTCTCATCACGTAGATAACTAATGTTAAGACACACTAGGTTAGCGGATTGTTGCCACCCCTGTATTCTGTTTTGTCCAATTCTGAGTAGTTTAGGTAGTGAGGGTTTTTGTTTTGGTTTCAAAGGATAGACGTAGAGATAGGCCTGGTTTTGTTATGCTTGTTTCTTTTGTTTGGCACAATCCTTCGACTCCTCCTCCTCACACACAGAGTATTTTCTGTTCAGTTTTCTAGGTTGACAAAAATAAACCTTTTGTCAAACCTTTACGCTGACTCTCATATTATTGGTTGTTGTGTGTTAATGTCTCCAGGTCCCCTAGACCTTAGTGGGGAAGTAACACAAATGGGGGCTCGTCCGGGATCTTTATTTTCCTGAGCTAAAGACAACCAATAATATTGAAGTCATTGTGGCTGTTGTAAATTTGCTGAAAAAATGGGTTTTGATTTACAGGATTTTATTGAAAGTCCAAGTGTTGATAAGTTGTATTCCTGTCGCAAAGATTACATGTTATGTGTTGCAGCTCACTTTAACATTTCAGTAGACAAGTATAGAGTAAAAAAAGAGCTAAGAGATGAAATCCTGCAAAAACTAGAGGAGTTAAAGATTCTTGTAATCCCAGACATGTCAACTCAGACTACGGCTGATGTGTCTATTGATGATGATGGTGAACGTGTAGTTGGTGCTTCCTTTATAGAACAGAAGGGTCGTGCTGTATTAGCTACACCTAGAATTGACAAGGTTAATCCTGGAGCTCCTCCTGCAACGCTTCCTAGGTTTGAGGCTTTCTCTCCGGGTAGCTTTGGTGCAAGTAGTAGTGCCAAACTGAAGGTTCGTCTTGCCCGTCTTCAGCTGGAGGCCCAGGAGAAGGAAATGGTGCGTGGAGCGGACTATGATTTCAAACTACAGATTCGCAAGTTAGATAGAAGCTGAAATCACGTTAAAGCGGCTTGAAGTTGATTCCCTGAGAATCTCTTCAGAGCAGAGATTTGAGAGGTCAATACCTTCGCATGCAGTCCATACCAGAAGTTTTGATGTTAGTAAAAATATTGCTTTGGTGCCAACTTTTAGAGAGTCGGAAGTTGACTCATATTTTTGTGCTTTTGAGAGAATTGCTAGTCTGGCCTAAAGACATGTGGCCAATCCTACTTCAGTGCAAATTAGTGGGTAAAGCTCAGGAAGTGGTATCTTCACTTTCTTTGGAAGAAAGCTTGCAGTACGAAGTGCTTAAAGGGTCAATCTTGCGTGCTTATGAGCTTGTGCCGGAGGCTTACAGACAAAAGTTCAGAAACCATAAAAAGTCTGCTACGCAGACATTTGTTGAGTTTGCACGGGAGAAGGGCATTCTCTTTGATAAATGGTGTGCAGCTAATGAAGTGAAGGATCATTTTGAGTCTCTTCGTCAGTTACTTCTCTTGGAAGATTTTAAGAATTCTTTGCCTGAAAGGATGGTGATATTCTTGAATGAACAGAAGGTCAATTCACTGGCTAAGGCAGCTGTCTTAGCGGATGAATTTATGCTCACTCACAAGACTGTGTTTTCTTCTCCCTTGCGCCCAGATAAAGCTTCAGTATCACAAACCGGAAGACCTGATCATGGCACCACAACTTTTGAAAGGTCTAGAGGACCACCGTCACCTCCATGGGGGCCCCGTGAGTGTAACTACTGCCATAAAACAGGACACCTTATTTCAGGGTGTCATTTCTTAAAGCGTAAACAGCAATTTTCGCAACGCTTTCAAACGCCAAAAGGCATGGGACTCATTAAAGGAGTGTCCCTATCAGACATAGGAATGTCCCAGGAAGATGATGTACCTGATCCCTGTTTCAAACCCT